TCGACCATAATAAGACAAGAAATGTGCCACACTATTCAAAGTCATACAACTACTACATAAACATACTAGTTCTAACTACAGATGATTAACATGACTTCGTAGTAGTAATGAGCACCATGCAGCATACTAGTCCTAACTAAAATGCTGTGTTCACCTAAACGGATTAAACGGCCGTTTAAACGGACGGTAAACGGTGGTAAACTGTTTTGTTTAGGGGGTAAACGGAAATTAAACGGTTGATCGTTTAAACGGTCAAAAAAGGGAAAAGACGGCATAAATGGCCTAAACGGAATGCAGATAAACAGCATTAAACGGGCTAAACAGCTGTTTAAACGACCATTTAGGCGAACACGAGATAAATCTAGTTCAGTTTTGTATGGACAAATTTGTATACTTAAGTTTATTATATTTATAAATGTGTACACTTGATATGTTACATACATAAATATCTATATTTGGTTCTTTTCACATGCATAAATATATATACATGCCAAAATAATTGATTTTTACTCGGATAAATATGTATAAATGCTAGAATACTTGATTTTTTACATGCACATATATAATTATATGTATTTTTTTTAAAAGTACAAAACCGTTTATACCGTTTAACTTCGTTTAAACACCGTGTAAACAGCATAAACGCTAAACGAAGGGCGACCGTATAAAGACCGTTTACCGTTTAGAAAAACATTGCTAAAATGTTTACATGACTTGATACTACTAATTAATTTAATGAGCAGTGCCATCCCACAGCTCTAAGCATGTCATGCAACAAGGACACCAACAGGCACGATCAAAATCCAACGCTTGCAAGGTAAACCTACCTGGGTTAAAACCAGCAAACCTCTCCGCCATGTCAAACCGGAGGATCACTTCACCAGCTCCCGCCGTGGGGTGCCGGGAGTCGATTCGACAAAGGCGAGCCGGACCACGACGGGGCCACCTCTGTAGAGCCCTCGGACATGTCCTCGGCGGACGGCGAGCGAGACCGCAACATTGCAGGAGACCCGCTCTCGCCGTGGGGCGCTGGGTGCGGATCCGGCGACAACGAGCTCGACCACGACGGTGCCACCAACGATGGCGATGTGGACTACACCGAGAGCGCCGGTGGCAAGCAAACCACCGATGCTGGTGGCGTCAACGTCGTCATTATGGGCGACGGGGAGACCAATGCCAACCTAGGAGATAGCGTGCGGGACCGCGACGGTGCCTGCAACGATGGCGAGGTGGACCGCACCGGGAGCGGCGGTGGCGAGCGAACCACCGGTGCTGGTGGCGTCAACGTCGTCGTCGTGGGCGACTGGGAGACAAATGGTAGCCTAGGAGACGGCGTGCGGGAGCGAGACAGGTACCAGCAGTCAAGAAGGGTATGAATAGACATCGAAACAGGGTGCGCCAGCGCATTGGAGGAAGCGTGGACTGGAGCTCGACCACGGTTCCTCGAGGACCTTGAGCGCTTCATGGGGACGGCCTTCATGGGAACCGATGGAGAGGCGGAGGTGGGGACTTTGCGAGACAGTGCGAGGCCAGACGTTTTGTGCAATGCAAGGGGAGAGTGAAACAATGGGAGTGAGGCCAGGCTTTGTACACACTAGGACGCCAGGGCTAGAACAGGCTTCTGACGTGACCGCACAACGTTCATCATTACTAGTACTATCCGAGTAGTGAGTATTTTAGATGGCCGAACCTTCTGTCATCCGACGAAGTATACAATGCAGTCCATTCCAAGCAGTCGTAGGCTCGCAGCAGCCGAGGGGCTGCAGCTAGCTAGAGATGGCTACATGGTTTCATAGGTTCTGATCGTTTGCACACCCTCAGCTGTGTTTGAAGCTACCGCTTCATCAATCCAATGCCTTACTACTTCAGGCATGCAGCCACAGACAGTGCAGCTCCTGTTTGTAGCACAGTCAATCAGGCAAAAGTTCTACTCATAACTGAGTACAAGAGTTACATGTCCGACCCGTTCAAATTTACGCTGCTCGGACTATCAAACGAACATATGGTTTACAAGAAACAGGTAAACATCTTTTTGTCTAATATCATAGAGGAACGTGGTCGGGGGAAAAGTTGTGAGCAAGATGGTTATGAAAATGCAAACGGGCGAGGGAAGGGGGGAGCCAGAAGGTAGACGATTAATGCAATGCTATCGGATGAGGGAAGAGGGAACGCGCCTTTTAAATAGACCTTGCACGACTGACGAGAGAGAAGCGAATGCAGCAGAAATGCTAGACACAAGAAGTGAATCGAGAGAGAGCTTTTGACCACCATGACACGCTTAACACCCGAATGCCTAGTGCGGTTGTGATAGGTCTTTTCTATACTTATTTCACTCCAATCCAAGCAGTCACAACAGTCAAGGGGCAGACTGATTGCTACTCCGTACAACACTTTATTCTGTCCTACGAGATCAAATACTGAGCGGGCAGACTTTTTTGCGTTCGCAGTAAAAGTCAACAGCTATGACTCCTCCGTTCTGTATTAGATTGAGGCTAGACTTGTTTAGATGAACTCCTCACTGCATGGCTCTTTCAAGGTCAACAAATTTTATCAAAGACACGAGTTGGCTTCAACAGAGATCAAAGGCACTCATGAATGTTTAGCATATTATAGATCAGATCAAAGACAATTAGAAAGAAATCTATAGTGAAAAGCAACCAACAGAGGCTAAAAACCAACTACAAAATGACTTGCTTAATAAACCAATACTAAAGTTGAACACGAACTTCTTACTTCAAGTAGTAAGATGATCGTAGAGGTACAAGTGGAGTAGCCGTTAGCTCCGACACTCCTTCCGCTAAGCGTATCGAGTACACTAGTGGACAACTCTGGTACTTCTCCAACTCTTCTCGCTCTCTCCCTATACTACTCTAGCTAGAAGCTAAAGATGTGAGTGGAGCTCTTCTTCTTCTCTTGTGTATCAATGTGTGAATGAATGAATGTGGAGCCCTCCCCTTGCTTATATACTAGCTTCAGGTCAGTTTGGGGGCTTATACATGGAAACCTTTCAAACCAACCTCCTGGCACCATAATTGAACCGCCTACGCAAGGTGGGGCCGAGCGGCGCTGGGGGCAGTGCACCCGCACTTGGGGTGCGGCCGCACCAGGCCTAGCCTGCCTCGCCACCGCCTTCACGTGGTCGGTTCCTGGATGGGCCTAGGCCACTTCTACGTCGGTGGTTGGTCCTGATTTGACAGTTGAGTGGGCTGCCCTGTGATTCTTTGGCCTGAATATGCTTTACACTTTGCCTGATTGCGTATTTTGACATGTATTTCATACTTATGTCCTGCAAAACTTATATATACCAAAACTTGTGGAAAATGTGAGTTGAAAGCCCTAATTCTAAGTTTTAGTATTCACTTTTGTTTATTTTGTTTAAATGTTGACGGTAAGAATCATGAGTTAAACACCGCCAACACCAGGATGTTTGCAATTTTGGATGGATGCGTGGACACTCCCTGAGCACTGACCACATGGCCTAAATAGGCTATTGACTGCTGAGCAAAGCGGCATTTGGACAATTTGACCAACCATTGATCTTGAGATAGTAGAGAAAGGACCTGCTCCAAATGCTTGATGTGTTCTTCATATGAGTTGCTATAGACCAATATATCATCAAAGAAGACTAGAGCACACTTGCGAAGAAAGAGGCCGCAAAGTAGTGTTCATAGCTCCTTGGAAGGAATTAGGTGCTCCAGTTAACCCAAAGGCCATAACAGTGAACTCAAAGTGCCCCCAGTGAGCTTGAAAAGCTGTCTTGTGTTCCTCCCCAGGAGCTAACCTGATCTGATTAAACCCAGCATGAAGATCTAGATAGGAAAACCAACTTGCTCCTGACAGTTCATCAAGCAACTCATCGATCACTGGGATTGGGAACTTTCCCTTAACAGTGAGGGCATTTAACTGCCTGTAATCGACACAGAATCTCCAGTTGCTGTCTTTTTTGCGAACCAGCAGTGCAGGTGAGGAAAACGCACTGGTGCTTGGTCTGATAAGGCCAGACTGCAGCATTTCAGTGACTTGAGTTTCAATTTATGTTTTCAAAGCTGGGGAATACCTATATGGGCGGACTGAGACCGGATGGGCACCAGGCACAAGCGGGATCGAGTGATCACAATCTCGACGAGGTGGCAGCTCAGTCGTCAGCTGGAAAAGGTGCTGGAATTTGTTAAGCAAAGACTGAATTTCTAAAGGAACAGCAGGCATTGACTCCTCTTCTGTGATGTGATAGACTTGGACCATCGAGCAGTGTTCTGGACCAGGCAAAATCCCCTGCAGCACAATCTGATGAGGCCCATATGGAATGTGAATCCACTTTTGGATCCAATGCACTTTCATTGGCGAGAACGCCTGCAACCAGTCCATCCCGACGATCATGTCATATGTACCAATAGGAATCAGCTTGAGCGTCACAGAACTGCCATTGGCAACCTTCACTGGAGCTGGAGACTGTAGAGGCTGAACACCTGACAGCGATTCTGCCAACCGAGTGTCCAAGAAGGAATGGTTACTGCCTGAGTCAATAAAGATGTTCACTGGCTTCCCTTGAATTAAACCTTCAAATTGCAAGCTGCGCGAGTGGACTGCCGTAGAAGTGGTCGAAGCAGATAGCAACATGAAAACTTGTTCATTGTCAGCAGAGGTGCCTTGCTCGGATGAACTTTCTTCAGAAAAAAACATCTTCACAGAGAGCCCAAACTTCTTGAAGAGCATGAAGTTGTACGACTGAAGCACACTTGTGGCCTTGATGCCACTTCTCGCCACAGCACATGCACAGGCCGCATGCCTTGCGGTAGGAGCGCAGGGACTGTAGCTTGTCATCGACTGATGAACGACGCGGAGCTAGGCGACAATCATCAGGCGGATGCTTGTCGTTAGGAGGTAGAGCACCCAGCCCCGGCCGTGGTGGTGGTGGTGGCAGCGGCAAGGGGCCATGGCCACCCAAAGGCTTGGCGAGATTCACCGACTCCGTTCGCTTGAATTCCTTGCACCTGGAGGGCTCAGATCGCTTCTTCCTTTAACAGAGCAAGGGTACACGCAGTATCGAGATCGCCAGGGTGTTGAACCAGGACAACAGAACGGATATCGTCATGGAGCCCGTCAATGAATCGAGTGGTATAAGAGAGTGTGTTTGGGTAAGGGGTGTAGGCTGAGAGTTGCTCAATGAGATCAACAAATTTGTCGACATACTCTTGTACAGAGCATGTCTGCCTGATGTTGAAGAGCTGGCGAAGGAGCAGCTCATGTTGGTCGCGGCAGAAGCACTCACGGACCAGAGCACAGAGAGTCGACCAATCGGCTGCTTCAACACGATGCGCAATGGATTGAAGCCAGCGATTGGCGGGGACGGTGAACTGCATCGTAGCGACGCGCACCCACATAGATGGATCAACGAAGTACATCTCGAAGTAGAATTTGGCCTGGGTGATCCACAACTGTGGTGTGGTGCCATCGAAGCCGGGAAACAGCATCTTAGGCAGCTGGCCCAATTGAGGAGATTGGGTGAAGGTGGTGGGATTGAGGGGAATTATATTGTGTTCGGAGGTGGGGTGGGATTGGTGGGATGGGTTGGTGGAGGGTGGTGGGTGATTGGCAACGGCGGTGGTGGGGAATGGAGATGGGGGGTTATCAGAGGTGGGGGAGGGTGACGGGGATCCGAAGCTTGAGGAAGGGGAGGGTAGGGGGAACCGTACATACCATTGGCCGGGGTCGGAATTATGGTCGCGACCGAACCATATTTCGGCGCCCGTGTAGTCATGACGACGCGGTGCCCGTTGGGCCAGTCGACCAGAGATCTGCTAGGGTGTTGCGCTGCGGCGGCCGACTCCTGACGCGCCTTCAGCGGTGGTTGCTGAGGCTGCATCGCTGGGGACTTGGTGAGACGGCGGTGCTCGTAGTGGATGTCGTCGAGGTGGCCATCGATCTCCGGGCGCCAGGATTGAAGCTCCCCGACAGCCCCCTCCAGCGCTTCCACCCTGTCGTCTTGTTCGTCGCGGATCTCGGCCAACCGGATGAGCTCGATGTCGACCATGCGCTGCTCCAGATCGGTGACGCGCGAGTCGAAGTGGGTGCCCCAGTTGTCGGCGACGACGGCGGCGGTGTACTGGGAGGAAGCGAAGTCCTCCAAGGCGGCGAGGCGTCCATCAACGGCTTCCTCGCGCTCCTGAAGGGCCGCAGATGCGTCCTCGAAGCCCTTCTTCTCCAAGCGCTCCCAACGCTCGGCAGAGCGCGTGTCGAACTCCTCCATCCTCTTGAGCATTTCGTCGAACGTCTTGGCTACAACCGCATCCATCGCCTCTCTTGCTCGCTGCAGCCGGGTGAAAATGCTCGTGGGAAGTTGTCGCGGCCTCCAGAGCTCGCCGGCGCCCTGGATTCGTCGGCTCTATACCGGAATGTTAGCTAATCTTACTGGAACCGAGGAAGAAGAGAGGTAGGGCTGCCCGCCTGGCCGGCTGTCGGCTGAAGGTTCGATTCAGAATTCAGTGTTCTGTAGTTTGTTGCGTTCTCTCCTCTCCTTCCTTCCCTTTTCTACTCACTCAGCGACCTTCCCCTCGCACAAGTTACAGACCCAGTCTGGGCCGGATGCCTTCACACTCTTGGGCCTTGAGCGAGTTCCTCTTCTAGGCTTCGGTGGAGCGCTGGTACCCGGGTGAGGAGTGGTGACAACTGGCTAGTTGTTCATGTAGGGAGGAAGCTGAGATGGAGTAAGCACAAAGCTAGGAAATGCATACACTGACGGCTGCTGCCAGAAAATTCAGGTCAATGCTCTGCGGTGGCTGCTTGCCTGTAGCCCCTACACCAGTCTGCCTAGTCCTCTGGTTGTCTGGTACTCTGGTTGGTCGTTGTCGACTCCTCTCTACTCGTCTACTCCTACAATGAAACACAGATTTGCTAGTGATGGATACGTCGTACAGAACATTGGTATGATCCTTATAAAAAAAATGTTGATATGATCTCTAGCTAGTGCTACTCTGCAATAGCACATATGAGTACAGGGCAGTCAGATAGGTACCTGGAGATCTTCAGGCAACATCTGCTTTATCAAGAACAAGAATGTGGCATTCTAGAACTGGTTGCAACTCAAGGCTGCGGTTTTGCAAGTTCATCTGGCAAACCCTTCTCTATATATATATTCCTTAATTTGCAGGGTCATCCAGATTACCACCTCTGAACACTTGTAGGATCACTCGGTTTTCGAATTGTTGTTATAGTGACATTGACAGAAGAAATAAGGGATGAACACCAATATTTGATATCTGACATCAAGTTATCAATCGAAACAAAAAAGAAAATACAACCATACAGCCTCATTGTACAGTACATCATTGTCCTTAATGCTGAACTGCTATGACACGACACGAGTTATGCTTTTGCAATCTTTTGGAACTTTGAAGTGGATTGAGATTTTGTTTTGCCCGTCCTCGACCTCCTCCGGCTACGGGTACCAGAACATTTCATCTGGTACTCTTGCGACGCCGTCAATGGCTGCGTAAATGCTGGAGCAACCGCGCAATACATGGAGCTTTGTGGGCTCCAGATCTGCCTTTGGTAACTCAACACTTGTCTCTCATCATCGTAGAAACCATCAGTGACATTGGGCAGCAGCTTCCTGATAACATCTTGCTCAACCAGCTCATACTGGCTGGAATGCTTCTCAGGCAAGAGATAGGGGGACACATGGCACTGCAACTCAAGAGGAGGAAGGCCGCCCTTCCTGTCGATGCACGGTGAGGCGTAGCAAATTGCAGTGAACCGAAGCACTGGATGAGACAGTAATAGCATTCCATTAACTCTATGCTTATCATCACCCATGGATGACTCACAATCATTACGGTGACAGCTCTCAGTCTGTCGACAGCACCATTTCGAACTTTCTGAAATACTGGAATGGTCATCACTGTGCCCTATTGTTTCAGTTAACAGTCTACTGATGGCTACGCGAGCAGCACCAAATTGGGGTGGCAAGAGCTCCAAGCAGCTTATAGCAATAGCCACTATGTCGGATGCCTCAGATAGACGGAACAAAACAAACATCTTGAATCCTTTTTGCCACATAACTTCATCTTCACGCGAGACAAAGAGACATGCCTCCAATCCACTTCCACTCTTAGCATCCGGGTGGTCCTGCCATGGCCACAGCATAATATGGTCACTGCAAGTTTTTGTCTGGATCAAGAACTCCATCGAATCACCGGCAAGCAACGCCCTGGTTAGCGATGGCAAAAACACGGACTTCTTTGGGTGGCCGCCAGACTCTACCAGCCTGAAGAAGCTGTCCGCACCATCAGCGAGCCTCTCGAACCTCCGCAGCGTGCTGTCACTCAACCTCAGCTCATCTTCTTTGCGGCGAAAAGGAACAAAGTGTTTGGCCGCTCGAATCAAATACTGAGAGATCGAGTTACCGGTCGTTGTACTGTCGCTGGCACGACTGCACTGTAAGGTTTGCTTCTTGTGCAGATGCAGTAGATCATCGCTTTCCTCAGCGACACGCTTTAGCTTCGCCTTCCACTGCAGCAACGGGAGGTGGGAGATGCGGAGATGTTCCGTGACGGCAACAACGCTGCGGATCTTGAGCACCGCCATCTCCAGTCTCTCGGCTTTGTCCTCCACGCTCTCCTGCTGGCTGGTTTTGTCGCCGGAGAGAAAAGATGATACTACTCTGCTCACTGCCTCACTTGCCACAGCAGATCCTACTATTTCCGCCATTGATGATAAGCACTCAGAATTTCAGATGAACGGAGTTACGAAGAGAAGAAGGGGTTTAGTGTGCTCTACAAACAAGTTGCTTGGTCATACTAGATAAGTTGAAGGCTGTCATTACAGGACAGGTGTATGGGCAGGCCCTGTGCTGAATATTAGTTGAAATTAGCTGAAAAACACTGTTTTGACTGAAATGCTGTGAGAGAAAAATATTGTTTTAACTAAAAAAAAGAAGCCGAACCAATCGGATTTAAAGTAAGCCGAGACCTGTCAGAGGGTAAGACCAAGAACGGGGACACATTTAATAGAGCGAGGAAATTACACGCAGGGAGAAGGTTTAGTGCACGGCATGGTCATGCAGCCTGTTCGGGAGGCCGTATCGTATCGTGGATTATTTACTGCTGGCTGGTTTGGTGTGAGAGAAAAACACTGTTCCCGGCTGGAAATTTACGATCGTTTACGAGCAAGCGAACAGGCTGATGAGCGAGGACTTTCTTGTCTTCTGTAGTGCATATGAGCCTTGCACGGCTATCTCCAACGATAATACCTAAAATATAAGACCCATAAGTCTTTTAGGTAGTGTTATAGGCAAAAGGTTCAATACTAATTCGGTTTCTTTTCCAACAACGAGACTTAAAAGAGAATCTTTCTGTAAATGGGTTTTTAGGAGAGAGGATGCCCATATTTAGGTTGTGCCTCTCAGACAACCCAAAATAGGTCTTCCGTATATGTACTCTGTTGGAGGCTAATTTTGGATCTCTTGCTATCTATTTTGAGTTTGGGTAGGTTCCTTGTTGAAGACGGTAATGATACTCCAATTGCCTCGCAGAAAGTAACAGCTCGTTGATTTTTGAAACTATGAAACAATTAAATAACTAAAAACCAGAAAAAAATCTAAGAAAAACAATATCTCATTGATCGTTTATCACCTATGTTTACATGTTATACAGTAGGTCTACTACTGCACATGGTATATAGATATACACTATATTTCGATATATAGTAAAAACAATTGTCCTGTTCACTTGACTGATAAGTCATAGCTGAAATTATTGTTAGCTGATTTGTTATGAGAGAAAAATATTATTCATTAGCTGAAAAGTATGACCTATAAGTCATGCGAAAGGACGAATACATCCAAGTAATTTGGATGGGGGAGAGTATCAAATAAACTTCTTCGAACAGCATCATTACGGCATTACATAAGCAATAATAGGACACTAGCTAGTTAATGCTGACTGATGTCGCTCGGGAAGGTAGCTCCGGTTCATCCGCCGGCGGTTCACGCTATCGTCAGCATCGTCGCTGGAGCTCGCAGGGTGGCGGGCTGTAAGGACAGTGAAGGGGAGGCCAGCGACGTCATGCTGCCGGAGTATGGGGCCGTGAAAGTGGTGAATCCGGCGGCGGCGGCGTATGCACCCGTCGCGGCTGCTCACCGGCGCAGGCGTGGCCGGCTCTCCGGTGCGGGATGCAGCCGACGGCGATGTGCAGCACAGGCAGGGCCGAGGGAGTGGGCAGAGAAGGTTCGCGATGGATAGTGTCGGTGCAGAAAGTGACCAACACGTAAATATTTGTAGTTTTACCGTACGTTGTGATCGGATGTGGCCTAGCACTCAATGACGCGGGGTTTATGCTGGTCCAGGCAACGTGCCCTACGTCCAGTTCGAGTTGGTCGATGACTTTATTCCCGAGCCCAGGTACTTAAAGTTTGTTGTGGGGTTACAAACGAGAGAGAGTAAGATGGAGGGTGCAAGAGGTCCGGTCGGACTCTGGATCGACGGGCCGAGAGAGACGGGAACTCCTACGTGCGCTAAGTATTTGAGCGTGTGCTCTGATGGAATCGTTCGAATCGTAGGTTGTTCGAATCGTTCATGAATCGATCCCCGGGTGGTTGAATCGTCCGTCCCCTTTTTGGGAGAGAGCACATCCCCTTTTATAGATAAAGGGGACGGCTTTACAAGAGGGAGTGTGAGAGAAAGAGTGTGTGTGCTATCTAGTCTTGTTGCCCACGCTGTCGGGTACAAGGCGGTTTGTCGACGCCCATAACACTGTTGATGTTTAGATGCATGTGGTAGGTTCCATCGTCTTCTTCTGCTATGGCAGATGTCGGCACCAACCATACTGTAGGATAAATGTCGACGCCCACAACATTGTTCATGTTCTGACATGTCTGGAAGGTTGTGGTGCCTCTTTCTGACACGGCCTGACAGTACTGTCCTGCATGTGTGCAGGGTATGGTCCCTGATATTGTGGTTTGATTGGAGCGCCCTGCCTTACTTGCTCTGTTCATTTCCTAGGTCTTCACCGAGCGGGCGTCCCCGGTCGGTTGTTCCATAGTTGGCTCCGGCCTTCTAGTCGGAGAAGAGCTGTAAGCAGAGGTTCGATATACTCACAGTCGGAGAGGCGAGCCAGTCGGAGGCGAGCTGGCCAGGCCTTTTAGTCGGAGAAGCGATCGCCGGAGTCGAAGGCGAGCTGGCCAGGCTTTTCAGTCGGAGAGGCGGCCCGGAGTCGGAGGCGAGCGTCGATCCTCTTTGGCCAGTCCTTCCGGTCGAAGAGACGGGTCGGAGTCAGAAGCGACGGAAGCGAGGGTCGTTCCTCCTCGGCGGCTAGGCCTTCCGGTTGGAGAGACGGGCCGGAATCGGAAGCGACGGAACCGAGCGTCGTTCCTCCTCGGCCAGGCCTTCCGGTCGGAGAGGCGGGCTGGACTCGGAAGCGACGGAAGCGAGCGTCGTTCCTCCTCGGCCAGGCCTTCTAGTCGGAGACTGGAACGCCCCTGGCCTGTCGTTAGGTTTTTTGGGCCGGTCCAGGAGTTGCGCATCGTTCGCAACATCGTCTGCTGGGCCGAGCTTTTTACTGGGAAGCAGGTCCATGAGGGACCCCAGGTTTATGAACCCGACAGGAGCCCCCGAACCCCCAGGCGATTTGAGTAGAATCGCCTGGGGGATTTTTTGGTTTGACGACGGGTGCGCATGAGCGCACCCGATGGTGTAGCCCCCGAGCCCCTGGGCAATTTGGGTAGAGTCGCCTAGGGGTTTTTTGTCAGCGCGCGTGTGTGTATGCACCTTGGTGGGCGTAGCCTCCTCTTTCCAGTTTCTGACCCATCGTTTCCAGGAGCGCGGTCCTAGGCGTTTGGTCGCAGCCGAGGGACTAGGCGAGACGGAGTCATCAGCCATGGCGTCGGGAGCCCCGAGGGTTCGGGCGAGTCAAAGTCACGGATCCATGGATCAGGCGAGTCGGAGTCACTAACAAAGGCATTGGGCGTGCCAAGGGATCGAACGAGACGGACTCACAGATCCAGGCGTTGGGCGCAGCCGAGGGACAGCCGAGGGATCAGGAGAGATGGACTCACGGATCTAGGCGTCGGGCGCAGCCGAGGGACAGCCGAGGGATCGGGCGAGATGGACTCGTGTACCTAGGCGTTGGGCACAGCCGAGGGACAGCCGAGGTATCGGGCGTCCTGAGCCCCTAAGCCTCGTTGGGCTCGGTAGGGGTTAGTTGAGTTTCGTGCGTTACCCTGTCCATGGTTTCCGCAACCAGAGGGGCTGAGCTAACGTTACTTGCCTCAATGGCTCGAGTGACGCGCTCGGTGAGCTCGCTAACGGGTATGTTCGAGTGGAATCTGGGTCCATCGTTCGTGACGGGGTCGGCATAACCCTCATGTGGCATTCCACTGCTCCTTAACCCACATTCCAGCAGATGCCCGGGTCATTTCAGAGACCGACCCATGTGGCCCGCTCGCCTCCCCTCGATGGAGATTCTATGGGCATGGCTCGAGGTTAGGATCGAATGAGAAGGTTGAGATGACCTTGTCTGCTTTGGAGCAGACTGGGTGAGGGCCGCTGCGGCTCATCTGCGTTTTCTCCCCTAGCTCTGTTTGACGTTAGGTGGCCTCGAGCCCTTCGCGGGCCAGCCTTCGAACCCCGGTCGGTCGTTGCTCATGTTGAATAAGGCAACTACCGTTTCGTGACGCAACACAAAGCGTTGTGATGCATTAGCTGCATATGCGATGCTTTGGATGTATGGGATGAATGAATGATTGTATGAATGAATGCGTGAATGCATGTATGAGAATGGATGAATGAATGACCATGCATCAGAAAAAATAAAGTAAGAGGATTTGGTAGAGTTATCTTGGCGACCCGAGCGACAGGCTTGAGGAGTTTTTATCGGATATGTCCGAATGGGATCCGCGCTCGTCGTTCATGACGGAGCCGGTCGTGGCCCACATGGGCATCCCTCTGCTCCTTACCTGTCCCTCAGTGTTTGCCTGAGCCGTCCGATCGACTCAGGAAGTCCGTTGGTCTCTCTTTGGTGGAGATCCCGTTGTTGGGCCCTTCCAAGTCTTGCCTGGGAAGGCGGAGAGCCGCCTGGGAAGGCGGAAAGCTGCCTAGGAAGTCAGAGCTATCGGCGTCGGGAGGCTATGTGGCCAGACCGGAGGTAGAACAACCACCGACGGGCCACGAGGTTGAGGTGGTGGAGATCCCTTGCCCCGGCGAGGTGGGCACCAGGGTGGAGCCGTCGGCCATCCCACCGTCGCAGGAGCTAGCGGTGGTCCGATCATCGGCTGGGCCTTCCAACGGGCTAGGGTCGACCACTGACCTAGTGTGGCCCTACCCCAAGGACCCGAGGAAGGTTCGGTTCATCCTTCGGGATGAGCAGGAGGTGTAGCTCTAGGACGTGCTTGGGGGGAGAGGACTCGCCATGGAGTCCGATCTCGTCCAAACCAGGGTGAAGCTCGAGGAGGCCTTAGAGCGGGTCAAGTCCGTCTAGCAGGCGGTTACTGTCGACCTACCCCAGGTCGTAGAGGTAGGTTTTCTGCGTTCATCCTTGACTCCTTGGTCTTCCACTAGTTATCTCATCGTGTTTGCCTCTTGTTTTGCAGGGTTTGGAGGAGATGTCGAGCCGCAAGTCTAGTTTTCTCTAGGAGGAGCATGCTCGGGAGGCCACAATGTCGCGGCGGGTCACCGAGCTTGAGCACAAGCTGGAGTTTGCCCGCCGTGAGTCTC